ATTTCTGTGATCATCTCTGAATACCATGGCTGGTTTTGTGATCTGCAGTTCTATCTTCTGACTAAGAATATTCTTAGGAATCAAGATGATTTATTATTAGGGTTGGTTGCATAGTCAGCGAGATGCTGAGACTGGATTTGGCATTTTTATCCACCTTTTGAGTCCTTCCCAAGGACCTGGGATAGCAAATGTTGCTGTTAGATGGTGTCAAAGTAATCATTGCAGGATGTAAACTGTTCCATATAAAGCTGCCTTTTGCAATTGACTAATGAGGTTCAAATAGTGCTCTTAATGTTTTGGGATTGCATCCAAGGTGCCTAATAACTTTGCATTTTTTTTTTTGTCATAGTCATTCTATTTGCTATAGGTCCTTATATTTTGTGATCTTCTCTAGTTCTTTCTGTTGTATTCTACTGTCTCCAGGTATTGCCACTCTACCATTGTCTTTCTTATTGACAAGACTAGCAAAAATGTTTAAAAACATGTCAGATAGATGTTGGAAATGCAAACATAAGTCAGGCACTTATTACCAGGTTTGGTGGACATGTGCCAAAGCAAAGAGTTATTGGGAAAAGATACATGCATGGCTAGAAAAGATGTTGGGAGAACACGTAGATTTTAAACCTGAACTTTTTTTATTCGGTATAATGCCAGAAAAGACTGATAAACAAAGCATATATTTGACTTTGCATGTCACAACAGCGGCAAGAATTATATTTGTGCAGTATGGGAAAAATGAAGAAATACCATCAGACGAAGAAATAATTAAAAAAATACTAGAATGCGCGGAGATGGGTAGACTGACTTTGAGGCTGAAAGAAAAAGAAGAAACGAAATATTATCAAACTTGGGACTTATTTTATCGATGGCTAGAGGAAAGAATAAAGAATTAGGAACTAAATATGTATTAGTCTTATTGACAATGGTTAAGCCTGGGGTGTTATGTGACAGATGCTTGTCTATTTGAATTCTGCGTAAATTCCAAGAGCACTTTATCTTCTTCATTTTCAATTACTTCATCTATGTTGTGGTTCTACTACTCTAATGCTTGCTTGCAGGTAAATGGTATTTCTTGCAGATATTCCAGAACACCATTGATACTACTTTGTCATATCATTGTTTGTAATCAGTTTGTGCAAATCTTCTTGCAGCAGCTAATTAGGTGGTCCATTGTTTCTTCAGCTTCTTTGCAAAGATTGCAATTGCTGCCTGTTGCTTTCTTCCCAATTCTGGCTTTGTATGCATTTGTTCTTAAAGGTTGGTCTTGTGCACACAGAATTAGTCCCTCTGGTTGTTTCTTCAACTTTCCTGCTCTTAGCCATTCCCAAGACTTGTTGTTTTACCTGCTATTTTTTTCTTAATGTTCTGGCCATGTAAATACTTTGCCTTGCCATGTCTCTTTTCTATTTTTCATTTGGTCTTTCTTGTAGACCAGTTTGGTCTCTCCAGCAGTTAGTAAGCTTTCCTGGTATACTGTACTAGCTTCTGTGCATCTTCTTCACTACCCTTCAGATTGTCTTCCAATGCCCTTTTCTCTTTTTCAACTGTTTGTTGTACTTGCAACATTTCATGCCCACCTATTTTCCTTGATAAGTAGAATCTGTCTACATTGCTGCATTGATGAAGTGCATCATTCATTGTCATTGTTTTTCTGGCATTCTTATCCAGGGTTTTAAATTCTCCTTGAGTTCAGTCCACTACTCCAGCCATTTATCTAATGACTGGAATTCCCTCAGGCTTCATTGTGCAAGATATCTATTTGCTTTGGGTCTCTTGTTTGTTTTTGAGGTATACTTCTCTGATGGATTGTAATCTTCTTCCACCTTCCCCCTCCCCAATTCTTCAGATAATCCTTGACGTATAAGCACAGTTGGGATCAGATTTCTCCTTGTAAGTAGTTACAGTCATAAGTTGAGGTACCCACATGACTGAACCCAATTTTACAACATTTTTGTGGTGGTTGTTAAGTGAACCACCATAGTTGTTGGTAACATAACTCAGTGTTATACAGTGGTGAAGGATGCTTCACATTTGTAGTGATGTTACATTCAAAATTGGATAAGCCATGCTCTGGATTAACTTTTCCTCTTTGAAATGACTCACAGAGGTAGAAGAAATATTTGAGAAAGGATGTGGATGAGAGATGTAAAAGACCTGATTCACATGGAACACATTGCAATGTATAAAGAAGGGGACAAAATGCCCAATCTAAGGACCAGCTCACATTTCCCAAAGAATTTCGTATGATCCACTCAGCTATTTTTGAGGGTGTTTTTGCATAACAACTACTTCGGGATGAAAGTACAGAGAAAATAGTTGGCAGTAACTCTTGGAAGCAGTTTTTGCAGGAACTGCCATAGTTCTGCTAGCGTCTAAAAAATAGATGAAATAATGATTTGACAAAGGAATATGCCAGCAAATTTTGTAAACAGAGTTTAGCTACATAATAGATGATAAATATTTAAACTATCCATTATAGTGATTATACAGAGTGACAGGTTGTTATCGGCATTTATCCAGAACCCTGCACAGTTAGGGCAGGATGCTTGTGGAAATTGGTGACAATGGATTTCCTGGTTGTTTTTGGCACTTTTAAAAATTCATTCCAAAGAAAGTTGTGTAAGATGAGTCATTGTCAGAACAGAGAAAAACAAGATTTGGGTAAGATTTATTGAAGAGATATTCTTAACTGTTAAATGTTTCTTATTTATCTGTTCTTGATAAGCTTCCTTTTCATCTTCCTTTATTCTTACTCCTTTAGAGTTAAATAACTTTTCCCCTTTTTAGCTGGCTTACATTCTGGCACCCGAAAAGATTGTCAAACAATGTGTCTCCCAATTCTTATAAAAGAATGGCTCTCTGTTATTCTAACTAATTCCAACTAGAGGATGGAATGAAGGGGTGTTTTTAAAATTTTTTAGATATGCCACATTTGAGAGGATTGACTAATATCTTAGAGGACAAAGCTGCAATTTTAAATGACTTCAATACTTGAGTAATAGGCCAGATTCAGCAAGATGATGTTAGGTAAGAATGAATATAAGATATAGTGCATTTGGATAGGGACAGTCAAATTTATAGGCACATGATTGCAAAATTGGCTCGATTGCTTATTAGAAATGTACTTTTTTGCATATTTGGTTTTTTTCCTACATTTTTAGGCCCCTCCTTTTGTTTTATTCTGGAAAGTTTTGCTGGAAAGGAATTCTTAATTCCCAAAGTTGAAATAATAGAGAGGACTTAGTAACTGTAGCTTCTGTCCTCCCTAATAGGAAGAAAGAGGCAGAAATAATGGTCTTGAATCTCAGAACAAATGATGTTGTAGCCCTGCTAATCCTTCCCATGTTCCTGACAGTGAAGCGCTTTCTCTACCCCATCTAATGCCAGACTCAGCATCTTATATTTATGGTGCTGAATTTTCAGTCCTATCCGGAAGGTGGGAAACCCACTATTTCCTTACTGAAGATCACTGATCAGATATGATATTTCAGACCCTGCTGTGATGGAAGCCCTCTAGATCAGCTCTCCAGCATGTAGGCTTTATTCTGAAGCATAGAAAGTACTATTTGGTTCTGTTTCCTTCCCACGGGTAATTCTCAAGCTCATCAACCCAAAACATAGTGTATTGCCAAGAACATTTAGCATTTGCTTCCTTCTGTGCTTACAACCAGGGTATAAGCAGGATTATGTGTCATCATGTTGGTGTTGATTGTTAGTTAACCACGTCGTAGATAATCTCCAGGATGATGCAGCCCCACCTGGTTACACAAGCAGTATAGCATAGATATTTTTCTATTTGGTACATTTTGTCAGGTTCTTATTTCTAGGAAACACTGACAATATTTGTTGTTCTATGTCACTACGTATGCAAAGTCCTAGATCCGAGGTGGAATTGGTTTTGACGTCATGTTTTCCGTGTGAATAGCCTAGAACCGTTTGGCATTCCAATAGTGAGGCCTTTTCAACTACAGTAGTTAATAAAACTGGCAAATCCTCCTCAGTGTGAAAATCAGACAATTCTACAACATTAAAATTGGGTATTGAAACAGAGCAATTAAACTGATTTAGGAGGACCTTAGATGCATTAAATTATTTTCATTTTTTTAAAATGGAGAAACGAAATTTCCTCCATCTCATGGTATAAATAATAATATATAGTAAGCAATTTATTAATCACTTAAGGCAGGGGTTCCCAACCGGGGGTGCAAGACGATATTCCAAGGGGTGCGAAAACTTGGGTTTTCAAAATTATGGTGTATACGCATAATTCGTTGCTATTATTTCGAACTTTTGTAAGGGGTGCGAGAATATATCAGAAGCGTTCTAGGAGTATGGGGTATAGAAAAGGTTGGGAGCCACTGACTTAAGGTTTAAACAAAAATTAGGTCCATAGTAATTTTTCTGAAAGTGTCCATATATGCACAATGAAGTATGTATTTTCTAAAATTACAGTGCTTAAATTATGTTACCTTTATTACGGTGGGTATTTCCAGAAAATTTCTCAGCACATAAACAATCTGTACCTTAAAACCTTTGTTTGTGATCATAACTATTATATCTTTTTGGGAACTTGTCAGGGCATTTGAGCCACCTAATTCATTTTATTTTGTATTACTTTTTGAAACTTTGTTGTCTAATGCAAAGCATCAGTCCTAAGCATAACCTCTCTTTTCTCAGATGACCTCAGAGTCTAACTTATATCTCAGAAACATTCTTAGAAATAAAATGGAACATATTTGCAAGTCTCGTTTGTAAGGGTGCCAAACTACTTAAAGGGAGGAAAGATAGCAAAGCATATCTAGGAGTAATATTGGCCCAACTAGGCTGAGGAATCCTGTTTCCCCTCCCCCCTTTCAACTAACATATATTTTATTTATTGTACTTCTGTAGATAATTTAAATTCTGATTATTTTTTAATCTGGTTTCTTGACTCCATGAATTATCCTACTTCTTCCTCTTAAATTAATTATTTTCTCTTTTCCCCATTGTTTCCTTTTCAGGTGACCAACCGTGACGTAAAACAATTCTGCAACCATTCTAAAGTGCCGTTATGACAGGCAATACTCCCCAAGACAGGTACAGTAATTGTATAGTGAGATGGTGTTGTTTCTCTCATGAACAAGTGCACACATGTCATGTAAATGCAGAACATACTTTTTGCTAAACGTTAAGTCAGGTGTCAGTAAATTGCAGTCTTGGGCATCTGTTGGTGTCCTACTGTCCTGACAAGGATCATTTTTGGTATCAGCTATGGGCAACCCATTAGAATACTTTTTCTGTAAGAAATTTTTTTTTTTTTTCCAATCATAAAAAACAATCATAAGTAAACACAATGACAATAACCCCCACCCCCACCCCGGACTCCCCAAACCTAATCCCAGGATAATATTCATATGAAAGTAAACATATACTAATATCTCTAACTCTACAAATTATCTTAATCTACAAGAAAAAATAGTAGAAATAAACCAACTTGCAAAATTAAAAACCTAACCTGTATTCTACCACTTTATGTTTCTTTTGAATATAAACAATCCATCTTCCCCATATTGATAAAAATTGTTCATTCGAGTGATTCTTCAAATAAGCCGAAATCTTTGCCATTTCAGCAAGATACGAAACTTTCAATCTCCAATCTCCCATCGTTGGCAGAATTGGGCTCTTCCAGTTTTGGGCTATTAACAGTCTAGCAGCAGATAAACAATAAAGCATCNTTTGTTAACCACTTCAAATCCTGACATCTGCATAAGTTGATCTTTGTCCCTAACAATCATATTCTTTGTAAGAATTTTAGTCTTATTCACATTAATTTTAAATCCAGCCACTTTGCCATATTGATGTAATTCTTGTAGCAAAAGTTCCAATGATTTGATTGGTTGTGTTAATGTAAAAACTAAATCATCAGCAAAAGCTGTAAGTTTATATTCTTTAGTAAAAATCTTTAAGCCTTTAATCATTGGTGATTCTCTGATTCTAGACAGCAAAATTTCTAAAGACAATACAAATAGTAGTGGAGAAAGTGGACAACCTTGTCTGGTGCCTTTTTGTATTTCTATAGGTTCTGTCAAGTCTCCATTAATAATTATTTGAGCGGATTGTTTTTGATATATTGCTTTTATGGCTGTCTTAAATTGATCTCCAAAATTCATATAGTCCAGTATTTTGTTTAAAAACTGCCAGTCCAATTTGTCAAAGGCCTTCTCCGCATCCAAAAAAATAAAAGCCGATGGCACTTGATTATTCTTATCCAAATATTCCAATAAGTTCAAAATTTGTCTAATATTATTCTTCATGTATCTCCCAGATATAAAACCAGTCTGATCATCATGTATATAATATTGCAATATCTGCATCAATCTATTAGCCAAAATTTTTGCAAAAAGTTTGTAATCCACATTCAACAATGAGATAGGTCTATAATCCTTGAGTTCCAAAATATCTTTCTCATCCTTCGGTATCAAAGATATAAAAGCTCCTGTCCATGACTGTGGTACTTGTTCTCCCAACATAATCCTATTAAATAAGACTTTTAAGGGTTGGATCAATTCAGCTGACAAAGATTTATAATAAGTTGCTGTCAAACCATCCGTACCAGGAGCTTTGCCAGTTTTCAATTGTTTAATTGCATTTAAAATTTCCTCTGCAGTGATCTCATCATTCATCAATTTCTGTTGTTCCGATGTAAGTTTGTATATAGGTGAGATTTGCATGTATTTATCAATGTCCTCAATTTTTGTAGACCCAGCAGCATATAAGTGTGAGTAGAATTCTATAAACGCTTTCTTGATCAATTCATGTTGATGAACCTCGCGGCCTTTAACCACAACTTTGGATATAAGTCTAGCTTTCTGTCTCTTGCGTAATTGGTAGGCCAACCATCTCCCTGGTTTATTTGCATTAGCAAATGTATTATGTTTAATATACTTCAAGTTGGTGGCCACCTGATCAGCAATTAACATATTAAATTGATCCTTAAGTAGTTTAATAGAAGCCTTCAAGTTAATATCTGTTGGCCGCTGAGATAATAATTTTTCTTTAATCCCAATTTCTTTTTCCAAGTTTATTCTACTCTGTATTTGCTTACGTTTATATGCATTGTTCATAGAGATTAACAAACCCCTCAAATAAGCTTTACTCGCATCCCACACAATATGTGTAGGGGTTTCCTTATTCAAGTTAAGTTGAAAAAACTCTTCCATGTAATCTTTCAAAACTTTGAGCTTCTCCTCATGGTTGAACAAGTTTTCATTCATTCTCCAAGATTTCCTTTTCTTATGTTGACCTATCTCAATCCATACCATACTGTGATCTGACAAAGCTCTAGGAAAATTTTTTGTTTTATTACAGTCAGTAAGCAAGTCAGTTGATAACAAGACAAAATCAATCCTTGAGAAAGACTCATGTCTATGAGAAAAAAAAGTAAAGTCACGTTCATTCATGTGTTGTGATCTCCAAACATCCACCAACTCCAAATCTTCCTTCATCGCAAAAAAAGATTTGGGGAGCCTGGAAAGGGCCACATCCCTAGAAGTTGTCTTTTTATCTTTTAAAGTATCAGGTACCCCATTCCAGTCCCCCATAAAAATCAAAGAATTATAATCCAAAGCCACAATCTTCTGATGTAATTGTCTATAAAATAACTTTTGAGATGACAGTTGATTAGGAGCATAAACCCCCACTATTAAACACTTTCTTCCATTTAAATTTATTTCCACAAGTAAGAATCTTCCTTCTTTATCAGCTTCTTTTAAAATGGGTGAAAGATGTTTTTTAATATATAAAGCAATCCCAGCTTTTTTCTTTAAGGCAGGTGCAGCAAACAGTTCTCCAAGCTTAGCATTTAACAATAATTTTTGGTCTTTAGCCACAATATGAGTCTCTTGTAAGCATGTGATATCATTATTAAAATGTCTTAAATAATGAAAAATCTTGCGTCTTTTATGGGGCGTGTTAAGTCCCCCCACATTCCAAGATGAGATCTTATGCATTAGAAGATTTCAGTCCTATGGCAATGCTTGAAGCATAAGCTTTAACAAAAACCTTAGGTCGAGCGCCACCTACTGGCTCAGAAGTGGCAGATGGTGAGCTCTCAGCTGTTTGGCGGGCTGTCAGTTGTTCCTTCTCCTTGCGTCTGTGAGCTGCGCGGGTCACTCTTTGTTCTTTTCCATCATCCTTTGAACGCCCATTTACATCCTTGGTGCCGGAAGCAGAAGGGAGGTCCACAGTCAGATGCTCAGCCGTATCATCCTTTTGAGGTGTAATTGGACACTCCGCTTGTAACACAGACGCCATACATTCTTTTGCCTTTTTAATCGAATTAATTCTGTAACGCTTACCAGCCACTGTTACAGTTATACCCACTGGTACATCCCATCTAAAAATTATTTGTCTGTTCTTGAACTCCTGCACCAGAAAAGCATAATCACGTCGCGCTTTAAGCATTTTCGCTGGGATTTCTTTTAAGAGAATAATATCTTGATTTAGAATCTTGAATCTTTGTTGAAAGAAAAGCTGCATTATTTCATTCCGTCTTGATTTTCTAGTGAAATAGACGACCACGTCTCTTGGCAATTGTTTCTGGCGAGCAACCCACGAATTTACCCGGAAAACACGTTCTATCTCCCCATGAATTTCATGTCCACATTCCAGGACATCCATAAGTGCTTCTGGAATTATTTCTCTTAAATTCTCTTTTGGATCCTCAGCCAACCCGCGGATCCTAATTGCATATTCCATATCACGAAATTGTGTAATCAAAATATCACCTTTAACATTTTCCAAACTCTCCTCCATTGTATCCAATCTCTGTTCATTCGCTTCAGCCTTCTGTTCATTTTCGTCCACCCTCTCTGCCACTCCGTCCACATATTCAGCCAAGCCCTGAAAGGCAGTTGTCACATTCATCCGAAAGCCCTCTTGTTGCTTTACTAAATCTTGTTGTTGGTGTATTAATTGGTCAATCTTATTATCAAATTTAGCTTCCAATTTTTGAAACATCTCAGTCATTTGTAACATAAAATCTTGTAATTCTTTACCAGAGGGCGGCGGGGGTGAAGAAGATGGCGGGGGTGGAGGGTGTGAAATCGGCTTAGGAATAGGTTGAAGCGGCTGAGAAGTTGGAGATGTAATCGGTTTTGCAGTTGTTGGCAATCTTCTCGAAGCCATATTAACAGTATTAAATTTTCAGTCTATATGAGAGTCTTTTAAACGATTAGTCCA